CTTGTGTGTCTTCTGACTTTGCGGTTCAATATATTCTCAGCCGAAATGAGAGGAGGCCAAGGGCAATCTCACAGATCTGGGATGGGAGCTCACAGCGGCTGTGTGACCTTAGGTGAGTCACCCGGCCTCTCTGAGCCTTGGCGGGCGGGGAACACGGCCCCTGGGGCTGGAGGCCACTAGCGCCCCACCCGTCCAGCAAAGCCCAAGTCTGGAGAGAATGGATTATTTATTAGGGTCGCAGCCTCGGGGCCAAGGGCGGGGAGGCCCAGGGTGTGGGCATAAGGAGGGCCAAGGATGGAGGCACCAAGGTGTGGGAGGTGGGGGGAGTGATGGTCGGGGCTGGGATCCCGGGAGGTCACGGCACCCCCCACCCAGGCTTGTCTGCTCTGACAGGGAGTCGAGAACAGGCTGGGAAGAGGGCCGCTCCAGTGAAGCCCTTGGGGCTCCTGCCGCAAGGCCCTGGGCAGAAGGAGGCCGTGCCAGGAGCCAGGCCGTTACAGACGAAGAGGGTGCCCCCGTCTCCCTGAGCCAGGACACCTCCAGGCCCAGCTCCTGTACTCCACTCCCACCCCAGAACCACTGACCTGGCTGCTGCTCTGACAACTTGAGCCTTCCTCCTGCAATCCACAAATCTTGTTCCAACCCCGGGCCCTTTGCACATGCAGGTGCCTGTCTCTGCATGCTTACCCCCACCTTTTCCTGATAGACTCCTACTTGAAGTTTGGGTCCCAGATGCCTCCAGGAATTTCCTGACGCTTCTAGGCTGGGTCAGGCGCATGCCACCCAAGGCAATCACGACGTCCCGTGTACACCTGTTTTGTTGGTTTGTGGGGTTTGGTGCCCCAGGTGGGACACAAACCCACAATCCCTGGCTGAGGGTGCACAGCTCTACCTTGATGCACGTCTGACTCCCCCCACCCATGGGGTCTCAGAGCTCCAAAAGGGCAGGCCCTGCTCTGTCCTGTTCCTCACGGTCTCCAGCGACCCCACAGCACTCGACACGTGGTGTTTAATAAATACCGTTTCTCACGCTGTTAAAACGCTCGAATGTTTGTGACGTCTAATTCCAATTCCACACTCGACCCTGGGGCCTCATTCCGGACCAGCTTTCTTCCAGCGTGAGGAGGCCCGCCAGATCTGGGCACGGCCTGTCGCTGGCAGACACCGGCCCAGGGGGCGAGGACGCCAGCCCACACACTGTTGGGGCGCCCCTGGTCCGATGGGGTCACGGTGGCGTGGAGGACGCTGGGAGGCGGGAGGGGTGTCCCCCACCCTGCCACCTGGCAGCCGGTGCCCACTCCCCCACGGGCGGTCTGCGGGGCACGGTACTACGCCCCTGTGGAGGACAGCATCACGGTCCAGTGGACGGGGAAACCAAGTCAGGAGAGGGCAGAACTGGGGCCCAGCCGGAGCCAGAGCTTCAGCAACACGAACTTCAGTCTGTCAGTCTGTAGAGAGACTCGGGCTCCAATCCCACCTTGGACAGTAACTGCCACGGATCCTGGCCACGGGGTTTCTCCAGCACAGAAGGTGAATCATCAGTCCATCCCGGGACTGAGAACCTGTTCTGAACTCAGGTCTAGGGAATCAATACTCGGGAGCCAGGGGAGGGTGGGAAAGGGAAGGGGGCTTTATTCGGGAAGCGGGCGACCCGGGAAGAGGTGGGCAGAGGCCCCAAAAGCCACCTTCGTCGAGGGCGGGGGGCTGCACGCAGCAGGCGCGAGCCGGGGCGGGCCGTCATGTGCCGGTGGGCACGACCCTGACCGGACCCGCTGGCATCCCGGGAAGCGGTTTCCGAATGCAGGCGGGCCTTATCTTCTGGCAAAGTTGGGCCTTCACTCCTCAAGGCCAGGGGTCGGCAGAGCTCAAGCGGGTTAGCTCTGCTATGACCGAGGACTTGGGTCTGCAAGCAGGGAGCGTGCAGGATGACAGTGGGTGCTGATACCGGTCCCCGCCGGCCGCGGGGTGAGCCAGCACCGGAGGGGGGCCTGCCCGGGAGATGCAGGCCACACAGGAAGGCACCATTCCCCCAGAGCAACCGTAAAAATGTCACAACCGTGGCCGCCGGCGTCGGTAAAGATGTGGGGATGTGGGCAGTCTCTAGTTCTGCTGGGGGGGCCCGATGGCCCCACTGGTGTGTCTGCCCTGGAGAGGCTTTGTAAGGCTCGACGTGCGGAAGAGTTCACTGTGGCCCTGTCAGACCGCGGACATCTGGAACAGGTGTCCCGCCGCAGAAGGCCGGCTAGCTGGGCCCCCCATGGGCTCCCCTCTCCCGTAGCGCCCCCCTCGTGTTGCCACTGCCCCCACCTGCAGGAGCAGGTCCTTCCGGGCCACGGCCTCTGCTGTGGCTCCCGGTGGAGACCGGCATTCCCCAGCAGCAACGCCGGAGGGGGGACCCCTGACCTTCCACACCCACCCCGGGACCGGGCGGCTGGACCCCCTTCTGCGTCCAGGTGAGGAGATGGAGGAGACCCTTCCGCTGTCCGGAGTCTCCCCACCTCCCTCCTCCCCCTCACCGACTGACCACAGTCCCAGAAGCAGGAAATGAGCAAGGATCCAGCTCCCCCCGCCCCGCCAAGAAGCGAGTCCCCTGAGCCTGAATGGGGGCCAGCAAGGCTCCGACGTCCCCTCGCTGCTGGGGGTGGGGGGCACGCCTCAGTCTCAGCCCCATCCCTGGGAAGACCCCGGGCCTCCCCTCCCCACCAGGTCCAGGACCATTCGGGCAGGTCTGGCTGTGTGGCTGCGCCCGTGGCTTTCCCTCTCTAAGTCCAGGGGAGCGGGGGCTGGGGCCTTCTGGTCCCTCCCACCTGGGCCTCCCTCCTGAAGCTGGACCCCCAGCACAGACTGGGATGCCTGGCGGGGGGTGGGCACTCGCTGGCCCCGGAGGTCACCTGTAAGCCAGCCAGCAGGGCCAGGAGTCTGCGTGTGGGCCTGACGGGGTGGGCTGGACGGCTGGGGAGTTGGCAGCTGCCCCTACCCAGGCGCACCCCCTCCCCCAGGCATGGCACCAGCCCTTCCCAGAGGGAAAACAGGACGCTGCCCAAGGCCTCCACCACCAACTGCTCCCAGGGCCTGCCTGGACCCCTCCAACGGCCCTGCCCCGTGCCTCAGTTTCCCCCTCTGTAAAATGGGCCCCCGCTCCAGGGGTGGGTGAGGGTGGGTGATAGTCACTGTTGCCAAGACCCAGCACACGACACCCAACGTGGTGGTGAGATTTTAACGCCACTCATAATGCCAGCTTCGGCCTCAGTTTCCCCAGCCTGAGTGCTGGGCCCGTGGAGGCGGCAGGCCCGGGAGGGAGCCCTGCTGGCTCTAGGCTGTGTGCTTCACTACTTTTTACTTTTCTCGCCGTTTCGTGGGGGTGTGAGTCACCCATTTCAAGAGTGCACTGCAGGGGCGTTTAGGGCCTTCACAGAGCCCTACAACCACCACCATGTTAGTTTTAAAACACCCCAGCACCCCAAAAAGAAACCTCCTGACCATTAGTGGCCCCTCCCCCACCCCGGCCCCTTCCCGTCTGTGGATGAGCCTGGTTTGGACGTGTCACGTATGTGGACTCACACCCCCCGTGGCCTTCTGTGACCAGCTCTTCGAGGAGCATCCTCCAGGAGTTTTTATCTGGGAACCCGGGTGGGTCCTCACCTGCCCTCAGTTTGTGTGTCTGTGAAGTGGGTAGGAGCGGCCGTGGAGTCCCCAGAGCTGGGGGGCGGTGCGGAAGTGGCCTCCCCTCCCCCACCTCTCAGCAGGGTCTTCGGAGGTCTGAGACATCCAGGACCTGGCAAGAGATCGGGATCAAGGGGAGAGAAAGGCAAGACTGGGTATTCGGAATATATAAAGAACTCTTAGGCCTAACAACAGAAAGACAAATGGCCCAGTCTCAAAACGGGCAAAGAAGCTGAGTGGACACTCCCCAAAGACAGGATGAAGATGGCCAACACGCCATGAAACGATGCTGGAAATCGTGAGTCTCTGCGGAAGTGCAGATGGGCCAGAGGCACCGCTCCATGCCCACTAGGACAGCTCCAAGGGAAGATCACGGAACCTGAGGGTGTGGGGAAATCGGAGCCTGCGGGCACTGCTGGGGGGGTGCGAGCCGGGGCACGCTGAGGGCAACAGTCTGGCTGTTCCTCAGAAAGTCCTGCAGAGAGTCACACTCCTGAGCAGGTGCGTGCCCAGCGACGCAGATAAATATGCACCACGGATGTTTGCAGCAGTCAGAAGAACGTCCATAAACTTGTGAACAGATACACACTCGGTCCACCACATGCGGGAGCGAGCAGGAGCGAGGGGCCCACACGCGCGGCCCCGGGGACGGACCCCGAGCCCATGACGCTCAGGGAGGGAGCCAGACACGGAAGGCCACACGGGGTGTGAGTCCACGTGGGTGACACGTCCAGAGCAGGCTCATCCACGGACGGGAAGGGGGCCTGTGGGGGCTGGAGGCTGGGGGAGGGGCTGGGGGTGACAGCTGATGGGGACGGGGTTTGTTTGGAGTGATGGAATGTTCTGGAATTAGACTGTGGTGATGGTTGCACAACTCTGTGAAGATATTAAAAAACCATTGCATGGCACAGTTTAAAACAGCTCATTTTTTAAAAAGATTTTATTTATTTACTTGAGAGTGAGAGAAAGAGAGAGAGTGTGAGTGCAAGAGCAGGGGGGAGGGCCAGAGGGAGAAGCAGGCTCCCCGTGGAGCAGGGAGCCCGATGCGGGGCTCGATCCCAGGACCCTGGGATCAGGACCTGAGCCGAAGGCAGACGCTTAATGACTGAGCCACCCAGGCACCCCTTTTTTTTTTTAAGATTTTATTTATTTATCTGACAGAGAGAGACACAGCGAGAGAGGGAACACAAGCAGGGGGAGTGGAAGAGGGAGAAGCAGGCTTGTGGGGAGCCCGATGCGGGGCTCGATCCCAGGACCCTGAGATCATGACCTGAGCTGAAGGCAGACGCTTATCCAACGGAGCCACCCAGGCATCCCTTAAAACAGCTAATTTTTTTAAATGGGATTTATTTCCAAGGTGAGACTGAGAGGTTGGGAAGGGTGGTGGTCCCCCAATGCCTCAGGGACACCAGTGTGTGTCTGGGGCTGTGGGGGGCTCTTCCAGGGTGCTCTTCCCTCCCACGGGCAGCTCCGGGGTGGTTTGGGGAGTGGGAGTCAGGGTGGAATGCTGGGGTCCTGGGGGCTTGGGCCTGGTCCTCACCGGGCCTCATGGTGCAGTGTCTCTTTGTGTCCCTTGGGCCTCTGCCTCAGTCCAGTGCCCTCATGTCTGCTTCCCCTCCTGATCCCGCCCGTCCACCCTTTCCTCTCCCATGGACCAGGAGAAAGGACTGGCTCTGGAGACCCAGCTCCATCCCTTCCCACTTGGGTGACCTCAGGGTCCCTGCTCACACCTGCTGCCTCATCAATCCCTCAAGAGCTGTGGTGAGTGAATTAATATGGGTACGTTTTTGAGCAGCACCCAGTGTGCTCAACCCCTCTTTCCTGCTCTAAACTCCCCCATGGCTCTCTAGTGTCCCAGACTCAAGTCCAGGCTCCCCAGCTGGGCAATGTGCCACCACAGCCCGGCCCTGCCCCCCCTCCATCACCAGGGATCCCTCACCTGGAGGAAGGACCTCCATCCCTGATCCTTAGGTTCCCCCACACCCTCTCCCAGAACCCCGCGATGTCAGGAGGGTCCCCCAGGATAAGCCTTCCTGCTCCTGCCCCCAGGAAGCACCCAAGAGGGATTGCCCCATTTTCCCCTTCTCCTCCTGCCTCTGGAGGGCTGTTTGTGGTCACCTTTCAACAGCAGGATTCCCAACCACCGCCCTGGGGCCGCCCCTGGCTGGCAGAGGAAACCAAGGCCCACACAGAGGTTTTGGGGAGGTGGGACAGCCAGCCTGGTGCAGCACTTGTCATGCCCACTTACAGGTGAGGAAACTGAGGCCCCGGTGGGATTTGAACCCTCTGGAACTCAGTCTTCACCACACAGACCTTCGTCTTGCAAAACCCACGGAGCTGTCTCTTTCAAAACAGGAAGGGTCCAAGCCAGGATGGGGATGGGGTCTACAGGGCTGAATAGAAATAAAGACCAGGGGCGACAAACAGTAGGCGCTCAATTAATGCAGCCCCCACCCCCTACTCTAATGAGACGCTTAACTTCAGGATTGGTAGTCAGGGTCCGTCCCACTTCCCAGTGGCTCCCCAGTGACTCCCTAGGGCCGAGTACACAGTGGGTGTTCAAGAGATGGTGAATAAATGAACCGAATAAAGTCCTGTCGTTTGGGGCCTGGCGACCTTGGACAGTGATTTAAGTTCTCTGGGCCTCAGTCTCCCCATTCATAAAATGAAGGGTCAGCCAGTCCGTACTCCCCATGGGTGTGTGTGGTAAGGAGGGAACACCCGTCAACAGCAAGCACTGCCTAGGCGCGCACCCCGTATTCACCAGGAGGACCGTACCCGCCGCCCCCGCAATCCCGGGGCATCCCGCCGTGCGCCCCGGCCCGCTGGGAGCCCGGCGAGGGGCCTGCAGACCGGTGGAGCCCAGGGCAGACCTCGGGTGGGCGCACGGGGCGGGGGCGGCACGGTAGGGAGCCAGGGCAAGCCCCCCCAGCCTCTTTTGTCTCCAGACAGCGCCGGCGCCCGGGGCCCTCGCCAAGGAAACGTGCGCCGCCGAGCGGCGGACCCCGGGGAGGGGACAGAGACGGGGCGTGGGGCGGGCAGAGACAGGGGGAGACCCGGGGACACACAGGGATAGCCAGGGACCCAGGGACCCAGAGACCCCGCCCCGCGCCCAGCGTCGATGGGGCTCCCGAGGCCGACGCGAGGGGCCCGGGAGGGGAGGGGAGCGCCGACCCCGGCCCTAGCCCGCCACTACGGGGACCCGAGACCCCAGAGACCCCCGAGGCCCCCAGACCGAGGAGGCGGGAGCCCGGCGCGCACTCAGCGCACGCCCCGCGAGGCAGCCCGGCGACGGACGCGCGCAGCGCCCCCGACGCGCCGAGACAAAGAGCCCCCGCCCCTCGCGCCGCACGTA